CCAGAGCCTTGAACTGGGTCCAGTGCGGTGCAAGGGCTGCAACCTGTTAGTTCCCACCCCAGGACCCTCCAGGGCTGTGGGTACCTGGTTTTCAACATGATCCTAGTCTAGAAGAAACCAACAAGTGAAAGATCCAGGATCCTGCCTCCTGCTGCGCGTGGCTTTCCTCGTCCCACGTGGAGGCTTGCCACAGCAGAGCCTGACATCACAGTTTAGTGAGAACTGCAGATTGCACACATTATCTGCATGGAGCAGTCTGACAATAGCTGAACACATGTTACTTAATAAGATCTGGAGATATTCTTTGTGCAAAAGGTCATAACTTTGCTATGATACAAGCACACTTAGCATGTGTTTTACTGCTTGAACATGCAGTTGCTGGCATGTTAAGTGCATTTAACATATGCTAAACATAAGGTGCAACATAGCCCTTAGAAAGACACACCTTGTGTGGACTTTCAGAGATTGGCAATAGAGGTATTTGGGTGACATGTAATTTCAAAGGACGTATTACCAATAGCAGAGCAAATGTAAGACGACTAGCTATTTGACACAAGTGCCACGTAATAAGCAGTCAAGAATAGTAAAAGCAAATGCAATCTACTTGGGCACATGGCACAGTAAGAAATTAAAGCCTTAAGAAGTTAAGAGGTGCTAATCTTAGGCAGTATTAGTATAAAGAAATAAGGAATAACCACTAGGCCAATATGTCTGTCTTACATTTAACTTAAAATATCCCCTCCCTGCTCAATCAGGCACCACATGATTCCAGTTATTTATTACTTTTATTGATTATAATTTATATATAATGTAATATATATTGATAACACATTATATATATACCTATTTTTATTAAATAATAATGTATAGCTTTCCTAAATTTGCAGATTCAAGAATCTTGCACCCCTTGAGCTCAATGGGAGTTTTGCTATTTGCATTAATGGCTGCAAGATTTAAGCCTCATTAGCTAGGGTTTGTCCAGCACTTTAAACCACTGTTATTAATGCAGTTTATCTGGATGATCCAAGGTACTATAGCAGCCTATTATCTTTTGAGATTCTGTCTCAGTCCTCTGAAACCCAGTGTCCCCTGTTTCATCTCATGACCCCTGATTCTTCCTCCTATCCCCTTTTTTCTTCTAACATGCAATCAGGAGTTGATTCATCTCGCATTAAAGTCAAGGAGAGTTCTTCCAATGAATTAAAACAGTGGGGCCAACCTTTTTGGCAGGTATGCAACAAATTAGCCCCAAACTCACTCCAAGTACCACTCCAATCCCCTTCCCCTGTCTGATCTATTGCTCCCCTCCCAGTGCTCACTCATTTACTGCACTGCTTCCCACCCTATCTGCCATTGTGTTGCCTGTCCCCTGACCTGCCACTCACCACACAAAAAGTCTGCCTATGCCATTTGCGGCACACATGTTACAGGTTGCCCACCCCGAATTTAAAAGTTTGGGTTTGGGCTTCGGTTCTTATGAAAAATTCTGGAAAACATCCGTGAGCTCCACAAAACTGGACCTGCACAATGCCAATACAGACTTCCCTACCACTCCCTCATCCACCTGCCCAGGACCATTTCTAGGGCAGTGTTGCCAACTCTCAGGACTTTTGTGCTATAGGGTGTTTTGCTAAAAGCCCCAGGTCCTGGACTCATGTGATCACTTAATGAAAGAAGATCCTCACAAAGAAGTGTGTTCAGTCCTCATGATCATGGAGAAAAGCTGGAAGAGGTGAAGGTGCATTCAACTCTTAGGAGTGACATGCCACCTTAGTGGTTGCTGCCTACTCATTATGCACGGGATACCAAAAAATAGGATGCGTGTCAGTTGGGGAATAAGGGTTGGGTGGGGGAGAGGGATACTGAGGTAGATGAGGGTTCATTAGGAAGGGAACCAAGAGCACAAACTCATTCCACGTAGACCAATGGGCCATCAAAAAATAATACATTTCAGTTTCCACGAGTTCTATTCGGTATATAACGATATTGTAGTGGAAGCAAAGAACACATTTAGCAGGTTGTGGGGGGATGCCACAGCACAGTACTGGAGCAATAGGGGCATGATGGACAGTCGTCACCCCAAACAGAATGAGTGGGAAGTCAGCAAATGAGATTTCAGAGGAAGAGAGTAAAACAGAGTAGTGAAGCTGGACTGGATCAGAGAGAAAAGGTGGAGTCTCCTTGGTTGTTATTATGGAAAAGGACATGACAAAAGGTTTGATGAGGGACAGATGATGAAGAGCTTCAAGAAGCAAAGAATGAAGTCAAGGGGAACTAGCACCTAGTATATGAACAGCTTCATCCCAGGCAGCAGCTGATGATATTGAAATCCTAGCACTGACAGGTCTCCCGCCTCACCGGCCCCTCTCCCCTGTTAATGTGCTTTCTGGTTTATCTTCTCTAAGGGTCCCGAAGCTCCTGCGCTCAGTGCAGCTTCCAAGAGTGACCCCATTGTTCAATAATCTTCCATCAAGCTGTCCCTTGGCCTGCTGCATCACTCAAAATCCACAGAAATATTGTAGCAGCACTTCTCTTATCGTGGAAGAAAAAAATCAGACAATTGTCATGCAACAGGTCTGGTGCAGATGCAGGTAGGTGCAGAAAAAAGGTGACATGCACATAGATACAGGGCCAAATTCTCCCTTCCTTTGAACTTGCCCCAACCCGCTATGAGGCAGAAAAAACACTCAGAGATCCCAGGGGGTAATAGGGTCAGTGATGCTCCCTGCAGGGACCAGTTTGCAGAAGGTACCCAGACATGCACGTTTGGTGCTAATAGCTAGGTCAGGTACATCGCTAGCACCCAGTGATGCCCATTCTGCCTGGCAGGTGTCTAGGACATGGTTAGGGTGCCTTCCTCTCCCTCTGTACACTCGCACAAATAAGACAAAGCACCCTTTGCAATTAGCCATTTACACTTCTCATGGCACCCTGCTCCCACTCACTCGTACTGCCTGTGACTTATCCTACAGTACCCAGAGTGGGAAATCCTGTCTTCCCGCTCCCCTCTGTTGTCGTTCCAGGGTCACTGCTGACCTTGCCACAATCACTGATCATCCCGTCTCCGAAGCTCCTGTCAGAATGGCCAGCACCATGACAGCATTCCCAAAAGCATGCTCTCTTTCATTTGGCACTTACAAGGCACAGGCATCTCACGCTGACCACACATCACGCACACATCAGCCTGTCTTCCCAAAGGAGACCATAAAGCTATGACTGGTCTGATCACACTACTGGTTGGACATTAAGGAAGAGGCGAGACCTGCTCCCAGGAGCTGATGGTCTGTGTGAATGAAGAGAATGAACTTCCCTTAAGAGGTGCATCTTCTTAAAGCTAAGGCTCTATATTATAAGGAAAGGATGGCCCTGGATTTAAGCACAGGGAAGAAGAGGTAGTGCATTTCCCAGCTCTCCCAGAGCCTTCCTGGGTGATGTTAGGTAAATCACTTAGACCACATTTTCAAAAGAAGTCGGGGCAGATTTTTCAGAGCTCAATTCTCTGCTTGGTCATATAACTCCTTTCAGAAGTGTTCAACACCCAGGAACTCCCATTTTCACACCCACAACCAGAAGAGGCTGGTTTCAGAAGAGCTTATTGAAAAACCGCTCCAAACATACTAAAAAGTCTGCCCTCCACCTCTGTGCGCCAGTTATCTTCCCTGCTTACAGCCCATAGCTAGCAGGGATACTGATCCCCTATATCCCTGCAAACAACTCTGCAAGAGATGGTTTAGAAATACCCTCTCTGAGAAGGGAGGCCAGAAACGGTCTCTCTTTTTCTGTGCATCTACAGGGGCTCTTGGAGAAAGTCAGATATGCTGCTTGGTCTGAGACAGACCAGCAGCCCCTTCCTTTGGACAAAAAGAGTGGTCTTTTGTGTTCCCCCCCTTGCAGCACTCTGCAGGGCTGCACAATCAACCCTTTTCCTCTCCCTGGGGTTTTTTTTTTGGGCAAAGGGCCATGAATCTGGTTTCTAGACAAAGGAAGTTTCGAGTTGTTTGGGGAGGCTGAGGCAGGAGAAGGTTAGCGCTCAAATACGACTTTCCTGCCTCCACAAGCGAGTCTGCTGTGGGTTTTCATGAGAAGAGAAACCAGTAGGACTTTGTAGACTAGGTATCCCTGCTAGACTGCAGGTTTTTTTGAGGGAGGGTGGGCAGGAGGTCGGGGGGAAAGAACAGTCTTTTACATCTTTCTTTGCTAGTCTGTCATTGTCTCCCTTAGCACCATCCAGCACCCCAGATTTCAATCATTCCGCCAGCTAAGGAGGCCTGGATACGTTTCCCATAGTGATTTATGGGACTGCTTGAATCACTGAGAGTGAAGGAAAAGTAGTCCGGACTTCCTGGGTTCAAGAGCATCAACACGAACACAACAGGTACGCTGGGATCCCCCTCAGCAGGCAAAGCAGGGCTATTGTCCCATGGGGACATACAGAGGCAGCGTGAAAGCATAAAGCCAGCCATACTCCGCGCACACCTTCCAAGTCCTGCCTCCCAAAGCACCAGGCTCCTGGACCCGTGCCAGGCCTGGGCCACAGTCTGACATAGCTCCTTTTTGTCTCGGAGAGACCACAGACTGCAACTACTCTGTACAACGAATCCCTTTGCTGTGACTCTTTACAGGGGCTTGCTAAAATGTGTTTTGAGAACAGTCCTGTTCCAATAGCAAACAAAGATCAGCGTGACCTCTCCTTATCGCTCAGCCTTTCCTGTGTGGAATTCGCAGTGGTCTGTGCCCCAGCGATTATTGCATCACTTCTCTTTATGTGTAACCTTTGGCACACGACAATCTTATCTCGCTGCCACTGACTGCACTGCAAAAGATGTGCAGCAATGTTGCTAGCTCAGGCCATCCTCAAATGCTGAAATAAGCCGAGCAAAGGAGGAGGTCAGCAAATGAATAGCAAAGAGGCTCTGCAATCACTGACAGGTAGGAAGAAATCACACTTCTTCACTACCCTGGAAGAATAGGAGGCCTGTGTTTCCTCCTGCTGCACTCACCAATCACAATGAGTGTGTAGTTCACATTCATGCTGCCAAAGCCGTTGGTGGCCTTGCAGATGTATGTCCCCGCATCATCACTTTCCACCTCCTTGATCTTCAGCCCTTGTTGCAGGACTCGGAACCGCGTCCAGCCACTGTGGATCGTCCGCCCATCCTTCATCCACATGGTGAGAGGGGGTGGGTCACCTTCCACCGGGCACAGGAGCTTGATGGTTCTGCCTAATCGTACTGATTGCCGATGGATCACCTTATCAGCAATTCTGGGGGGACCTGCAGGAGGACAGTGAAGAAAAATATTTATTATGGCTTTTATTTGCATTGTAGCAGCATCTGCAGACTCCACAACCTTGACATGATTACTGCTCGACTCCACCCAACTGTGCTAACCAGCTGAGGGAAATTTGCTCTAGTGCTCTCTTCCTTCTTCCACACCTCCCCTTGTGTCACGGTGAATCAGCTCCCAGATACCCAGACTTCTGGTTGTTTTAAACCTAACAAATCCTGAAGCCAAAATTAGTTACAGCATTGGTACTTAAAACAGGGAGTTATAATCCTTTCATGTTTATATGTATGAGCAATTCTCTTTAATAGTCACCAGATGGGCTTTATCAGGACAAGGAATCGTAAGAGTAGAGCAAAACGGTTCTTGGACACACAGAATTTGCTGGGTAGCATTTACATAGCCAAAAGGCACAGGGTAGCCTGACACGTTAGTACTGCACACAACCAAATGGAGGAATTTGCAAGATATTTTTCTAAATCGCCTCGACCTTCCCCTGACAAGTTTGCTGTTCTGACCTGACTGCCGAATTGTGTGCTGCTTGTACAAGGTGATAATTTCCCGCAAAACAAGGTGTCCTGGAATGTCGGAAAATGAACATACTGTGCTGTGTGATAATGATAAATGCTAGGACAGGATAACCAGTTGGAAAAAAAATGATAAGGACTCCCACACTGCAAACCTTCCCCCAAATACAGACCTGAAATCAAACCAGGACTTCCTCTAGGATTCTGTTATGTTCGGGTCCCTTTTCTGTTTCCACTCATTGAATGAGTGTGACATTTATGTAATGGATTGATTGATGAAGTTAGGGTATCCCTTATCATGGTAAAAAGCAAGGCTCTTCCCAGAATACTTCAAAAACAAGCAAGATCATTAGTATCCTGCCCTTGAATAATGCCAAATCTACTTTAATTAGGTCAGCTGGTACTGCAGTCCTTCAAAGCCAGTGGGCTTTCATGCAGCTCAAAACCAGTGCCCAGCATCCTCGGGGCAGACCTTTTCTGGAGTAGTTGTTATAACGTAAGACCTGCCATTCACTTGGTCAGACCATAGGTCCACCTTGCCCAGTATCCTGTGTCACACATGCATGCTGAAAGGAAGAGTGAACTGGGTATGACCAGGAGTTTTTCCACTGTGCCTCTCTCACTTGCAGCCTCTAGCATTTAAGGTCTAGGAAGTGCTGATCTAAAGGCTGCGCCCCTAACTCTCCTGCTCAATTGCTACTGATGCACCATTCCTCCAGAACTGTGTCCAAAACCATTTTGAATCTGGCTAAACTGTCAGCTTCCACAACACCCTGAAGCAAGGAGTTCCACATTTTAATTATACACTGTGTGAAACAACTTCCTTTTGTTAGTTTTAAACTTACGAGCTACCAGTTTCAGTTTGTGACCCCTAGTTCTTGCACTGTGAGAACTTGTCGGCTAGTAAGAACTTCCTTATGAGCCATCCCTGTAATTTCAGCGAGGCTGTTAGCATGAATGAACACCACCGTGACTAAGGGAGTTCATGAAATCAGCTCATCAATGGCTAAGGGCCAGATTCTCTCTCCCTTACTCATGCTGAACTGCACCCGGGTAATCCCAATGACTTCAACAGGATTGTGGGTGGGTGAAGGTGCTGTTCAGAGTGAGTAACACTGCCAGAAGCTGGCCCTTAAATAATTAGTTTAATCAAATGCCCAATTAGGCCAACAGTCCCATATCAGCCTCTGGAGCTTGACAGATATGAGCTCTACTGAACGGTGAAGAGTGTGCAAGTCCCCTAGGTACAGCTATCCTGGAGCCAGTCCAGGCAATGAGAGTCACAGCACACCATAGACAGCATCTGCTGCAGGCACACATGGGACAGAAGCGGTCTCTTCCACAACACTGCTATTCCAGACTCCAGGAGAAATATCACGGTATCATGAGAGGGGCTGCCAAGGTAGGACCGTAAGCTTTACAATGAAGCTTTTCTTGGGAGCTCTTTGGTCAGATTTGCGAAGTCAAAAGGATTTGGACGGTCTGTGGAAGTATCAAGGATTTATCAGAACTTTGTGCCTTTGGGGGATTCATCCATCACCAGGAAATTATGGGCAAAGGACAAAGACCTCCCCCACAAATTCAGCTAAGCTTATGTTTGCAGAGCAGCACCTATTCCATATGCAGAGGAAGCAAAATCCAGAGAGATTTGCACGCTAGCAGAAACCTTTTATCAACGACCTCTAATTTATGGTCAGATTCTGCCAGGCTTATTCCAGCCGAGTCGAACATTGAAGAACGGCTGTCCGGCACAATCCATTGCATAGCATGGTACGGCAGAGACCGAGGAGGGACGGGAAAAACAGGCTTACAATTAGGAGGAGTGTTGTAGGGCAACTGGGGACACTGGCAGAGGACTGCCCTCCTCCCAATTTGGAAACCCTGTTGTGTCGTCTTCAAAAACCTTTTTCTTCCGACACTCAAGGCAACTCCTGACAAATTTTTAGACTAGCAATCAGATAGTTTCCCCATGGCATCATGCAGGTCGCTGCCAGCAGATTGCCTGAGCTGTTCTCCTGCTGGCAGCGGGCCGCCCCCGGCCTCAGCCCGTGGGTAGGGTAGCAACAGGCTTGGCCCTCTTGACTGCCATTTTCCTTCAATTGACCTTTCGTCCCGAGGAATTCTTGGATCGCTCCCCTGTCATAAGATCCCCATGCAGACTTTGCGTGGTCTGAAAAAAAGGGAGCGTTTCAGAGAGCCTGCTTAGAAAAGAAAATGGCCGCATCGCCCTTTTATCTTACCCCCACGTTCTCATTTGCCCTTTCAAGAGCCTCCGCCCCTACATCCTCCGTGCTAGGATGAGAAATTAAAAAAATCCCCGGTCCCCCTGCTGCCCCGCATTTCCCTGGGGGCAGCCGCACGTACTTCTCAGTGGGAAGCAATTCCAGGGGACGGATGTAGGCACCGCAAGCTAAAACCATGTCCCCGATCGCTGGGCGTGATAAATACCCCCATGTTATTACCTATCATCATTATTATTAATAACTCCCTACGTAAGCAGCACTCTCCCTCTGGAATCAATCCCTCCACATACGCCAGAAGCTTCAGAGGCCCTGGCAAGCCCATGGCTGTCATCGTGCTAGAGAGAGCTGGACCTCCTCCTATAGATGGTTACGGCAGAGTCACACATTGGTGTCCTGTCATGGGCCTCTGCATCTCTTTTTAATGTGCAGGAATCTCCTGGGTCTTATTTCACTACATATTTGCCAAAGCCCTGCTTTGGGACTGCAATGGTGACGGATGAATGCTTTTCAAGTTAAGATAGGCTTTGGCACACCTCGCAGTTCTGTTTGTCCTTTGGCATTTTGGGGGAGGCAACTGGGAGGGGCAAACATATTTTGCAGAGAGACCACCCAGAACCTCCCACGTGCCCTGAGTGCCAGCGACACAGACCCTGTTGAGCTGGGCAGCTCGTATCATGCTACTGTTGGGATCTAACATCACCCAGCTAGACATGAAACCCCTGGATATTTAAAAAGCTCATAGCGCTTCATGTGTGGCTTGAGTTTAGCCAAGTCCCACTTCTCTCTGACAGCTCCAGTGCAAATGCAGCCCCATCTTCTATTATATAAGCCATCAGCAAAACCCTTCTGAAAGGCTTGTACCGTTGACACAAGCAAATGCTGCAATGGCTGCTTTAACCCTCCGCTCCTCCAATGCTTCAGCACTTGACCTCGTCAGGTATTTGAGAGGATTATCAGCCAGAGACAGACAGGCACAGTGATACAGATAATTATTTTGTCATCCTCAAGAGCTACATACTGGGAGTCCAATCCAGCGAGGCACTGAGTGCTTTTGAAAAGTGCCGGGCACCTTGAAGTCAAGGGAGTTCAGCGCCTACAGAACTGGCCCCTACAAGCACCTTGCTGACGTGAGTGCTGCCCTCTGCAGATCCCACATGGCTGGGACAACCATCAGGAATCGCTGCGTCTCTCTGATTCTCCAAGTCCACGCCGTGCTGTGTAAAGGGCCCCACACCTGGGTAAGGGTGATGGGTGCCCGAAGGCACATCACACCGGTTCTCTCCTCTTTTGTTCCCTCTTCACTCTCTGTTCCCACTCTCTTTCCTTTCTCATACGTATCCCTGCCTCTCTCCTTTCTCCATCTCACTGGAACGCTCGGTGTTTCCCAAGGTACGGCAGTGTGCGTGAGCAGCTGGGCTGCGCGTGGCAGAGAAGCAGAGCAGAGAAATTGAGCCTACACCCCTGTAAACATGACCTGTGCCTTAACGACTGCAGGGAGAGTCCTCTAGCCTTAGGTCAGTCCTCTTGTCTTAGCTCAGCATGCCTTTTTGGCAGGCGTGCCACACATTAGCTCTGCACCCTCCCTGAGGAGTGCCACTCTGATCCCCTTTCCCTGTGCAATCTGGTGCTCTGCTTTCTGCCCAGGCCCTGTGTTCCCTGACCAATCTGCTACTCTGCTTTCTGCTACCAGCCCTGTGTTCCCCAACCAATCTGCTGCTCTGCTCTCTGCTCCCAGCCCTGTGTTCCCCGACCAATCTGCTGCTCTGCTTTCTTCTCCCAGCCCTGTGTTTCCCGACCAATCTGGTGCTCTGCTTTCTGCTACCAGCCCTGTGTTCCCCAACCAATCTGCTCTTCTGCTCTCTGTTTCCTGCTCTGTGCTCCCTGACCAAGCTTCTGTTCTGCTTTCTGCTCCCACCCTTATTTGCCACCGTACTGCCTGTCCCCTTCCCAGTCTGCGACATGTCAAACATAGGGGCTGCCTGTGCCATTGTGGCACCTGTACTGCAGGTTGGCCACCCCTGCCTTAGCTCACTGTTAACGTATCCACAGGCTCAGAGGGACAGAAGCGGCCTGCCAGGCAACACCAGTTTGGGACCTGCTCTCAGTGGAGACACACAGGTGAAAGCCTGTCACAGCCCTGAGAGCCAAAGACCCCCAGCAGACCCTCCGGTGGACCCTGCCCCCCAGCGTGGAGCCAGGAGGTAAGTGGGGACTGCGGCA